ACAAGTTAGGGTGACTCCCTAACTTCATTTTCCCAGTGCCTAATTCGTCCCACATATGCCGATTTCCATACTTTTGCATCTTCGGTATAATTCCGTCTCCAACAGTCAGTGATGGAAGGCAATGGAATATCAAGTTACAACTTTACTTAAACCCAATGATTATTTTTGACAAAACCAACAACAATGATTTTATGTCTACTCGTATACATAGGTAGAGCTAAGGTAAGTGGAAAAATATAATGTTAAGTCTCTTTGAGAGGGAGACAAATACAACATTGTACCTACAAGCAATAGGGTAACCCATATTAGGTATCATCATCCATTTTTCTCGACCCTGCACGCCCAAGTGTTCTACTTTTAAGGCATTCCTAACTACATAGACTGTGTCATATAACAAATTGGAAAATAATTTTGGGTGTTGATGAACTCGAGTATCCAACTGCGTCCGAACCAACGACCATGACTCTTTGCCCCATCCAAGTAAATCTGCAATAGTCCGAAAACCACAATTTCCATCGTCACTCACCTCAACAATGTCATCAATGTATGGATGCAAGAGACTAGAAAATTGAGACAAGTAAAAATGCTTTGAAGATGCAGTGGACGCTTGACTTTGACCCGACAGACTTGACGATTGACTTGCTGTTGGTTTTGTGCATGATCTCTTTGTAGTCTGACTCACTTGCAAGCTATTACCATACTCACACAGTGAAGGATCACGATGCACATCACTCTCTTCACCCTTTCTTCTCTTCTTAACTCCCATCTTTGACTTGTACTTCACTGGCGGTGGACACATTGAAGTTGTGGATAGATGTGTTAGTTCTCGAACCTTTTTCTTTAACACCCCATGGCCTACAATATCTAAAGTATTGAAATATGTCTTCAACTCTTTACACTCTGCTTCTAAATCCAATTGTGTACCACTTTCTTCATGATTGACATCATAATCTTCAATATGTAATTTCTTCAAAAAAAATATATGAATTGGATCTAAAGGAACAAGATAGCCTTGTACTTAGAAACCGGAAAGTTGACATGCATAGGGTAACCCATGTGTTGTTCTAATGATGCATCCACAAGCATATTTGCTTGTACTAATAAATTTTACGCTTTCTAATTCCTTTTGAATGTGCTGTATACAATGCCTTAAAGCAAAACCGTGCAAGTTGGTATAGAATGGAGTGTTATACTGATGCTTAATATTGACAATATTTTTTTGAAACAAGACCCTGATTGAATTTAGTTGCAACTTCAACATGGTGTTCACAACATCCCAATTTTGGCATAAATCTCCTCGGTTTGTTGTCAACATATTTTTTTAGTGTCCAATGAGAAGACTCCACCCTAAAAACCATAATTAAACCATAATGACTCAACATGATAAATTATGCTCAGTATATAATAACATAAAAAAAAGTCAGTGTACCTGTTCGTTGTTGTGTTCCCTTAACGAGTGACTATGTTAGTCCAAGCAACAAGAAACCTTTCTTTATAAGGTGTCAACCATGTTTCACTCACATGCTTAACAAAGAAAGGAATATTAGCACGAAAAGTTTCAAAGTGCTTCAAGTGTGCGACAAACTCAGTTTCTCAATTAGCATACATGATGTTGTTCTATAGATCCATGACATGCTCATGTCTTTCTGATTTAACACTCTATTTGCATTTTATGCTAACGTCTTTTGAAATATGCAACCAATATAATAGATGAGTTGAAATTGGAAACACAATGTCAATTGCATTCATCAACTCAAGTTCTCAGTCCGTCACCATAACATTCAGTAGAAATTTCTCAAAAGATATCAGCTCTTTGAGCTTCTCCAGTGCCCATTTGAAGTTATCATCTCTTTCATGTTCCAAATAGGTAAAGCCTACTGAAAACGTCAATTTTGTTGACGTAACTCCAACAATCTCAAGTAGTGTTAGCCGATATTTGTATGATCACGATGCACATAATAAAAAAATCTGATAAATTAAAGTATATCGAAATGATATCAAAGTATGATCACGATGCACGTTACCTATTTGTCTTGTATGTACAATTAAAAATCAACACCAAATGAAACATATTCAACAACTTCACTGAATCAGGATGTGTCCAGAAGATATCAGCAACAACATTTGAGTCTTTCATATTTCTTATCCAGCACATGTATTTTTCTCTATGAATAAGAGTCAACAACATTTGCATATCTGTCAATGAGCCTCTATTGCTCACATTGTATGTAGCTCTAGCTTTATACACTTGGGTAACACTGGTGAGGTTTTCTGGATCTTTGTCTTTTAAAGTAGAAACTATGTATCGTGGAACCATGTTGTACTCTGTCATGTCATTTACAAATTGTCTCACATGAACTTTTAGACGACCCAATACGTCACAGCCTTATAAATTCTTAGATAGTTTATGATTATGCAACTCACACCTAACCACCATCTTCCAATCACTGCCACTCAGTGCAGATCTCAACATAAAAGGGCATTTCACTTTCATACTATAAATGTCCTCCGGGGATTTACCGCTTTCAGATGTATTCTTCCTTTTATAATTATCTCCTCTCTCACAACCCATAATCAATTTATATTTCCTACTTCGCTTGCCATTTGCAGTATCAGAATGAACAATCATAACAATAATATCCTGTTGTTTGCCAATATTTTGTGCTCAGTCTAATACTTCAGATCGGGACTCAAAATATCTGGCGTTTACATCACATAAAAGTAAACAATCAATATCATATAAGGGCGAGAAAATATTTAATTTAAACTAGTTACATAAAAAACATATTGCGTATTGCGTCAATGGTGAAGAACTGCATACAATCATTACACGAATCTATAAATGACCATGCTGGCTCCAAACCACACAAATAAAGCATTTTCTAATTTTCTACTCTGTTACCAAAAAATTCACATATATTCCAAATTTTCGATTTATCAGAAATTTGCAAATTTTCAATATACTAACAATTGGCAAATTTTTGGAATTTTTTATTTTTTTTCCGGAAATTTTGATAATTTCTTATGAGTTAAAGGTTTTTTTAGAAAAATGCCAAATTTTTTAAAATTTCTGATATTTTTTAAATGTATGGTATAAATGCAATAATTTTTTAAAAATGCAAAAAGAAATGTATCAAAAATTTTGATTGTATTATCCGAAATTTTGTTTTTTATAAATTAATAAGAATGAAAATAAAATATAAAAAATAAAAAAATTTTGGTTAATAAATAATAACAAGGATATTTATGAAATTTTAATATTATAGAGATGCCAAACATAGATAAGGTGGCAAGTTAAAGGAAATTTTATCCCATACCCCTACAATTATACCCATACTCCTACACTAAATTTTTTTGGACCAAAATACCCTCATATAAATAATTATAATTTTTTTCGTTTGTTTACCGGAAGACTTTAAGTATGTCTTCCGATTCATATTTTTTTTGTTCACCGGAAGTCTTTTTGCAAGCCTTCCGGTTTATATTTTTTTTCCTTTGTTCACCGGAAGTCTTTGTGCAAGTCTTCCGGTTCATATTTTTTTTCGTTTGTTCACCGGAAGTCTTTTTACAAGTCTTCCGGTTTATATTTTTTTCGTTTGTTCACCGGAAGTCTTTTTGCAAGTCTTCCGGTTCATATTTTTTTCGTTTGTTCATCGGAAGACTTTTTGCAAGTCTTCCGATTCATGTTTTTTTTTTTTTTTTTTTAATTTTTAATATTTTTTAATATTCAACTAGACAAATATTTTAATATGTTATTTATTTTTAAAAAAAAAAAACAGGCTCTCCTCCACCTTCAAATTCTTCCTCCCAAAAACATAAAGAGTTTAATTCTTGAGAAAAACTTTCATCTGCTTTAACTTCTCTTTAATCACAAAATCACTCCTCTCCTCAACCTCGATATCTCTCAAAACTTTTTGAACAAGCTTCAAAAACTCCTTTTTATAGATCAAAATTTAAAGATTGCACAACAGTCTCTCCTACAATTGCAGTAGAAACTTTATCATAGAATAAAATGTATTATTTGCTAGTGAAAGTCAAAAACATCTTCATCTCCAAAAATATCACGTTAAATGAACAAAACTTTAACCATAGACAAAAATCTAAATTCTTCTATGCAGACCTACGCTTGATTTTTTATCTAGGAATAAAATGGAAGTTAAGCAAGATCACAATGTTGTAAAAATAAGTAGGCATGAAAAATATTGAAACAATTACACATGTAGAATTGCAAGAGCATCAGCACTCCAATGAATTAGAAGGAGAAATCTAAAGAAGTTCGGAACTATTTGATTAATATTATCTTTTGTCTAGTTGAATATTAAAAAAAATTAAAAATTAAAAAAAAAATGAATCGGAAAACTTGTAAAAAGTGTTCCGGTGAACAAACGAAAAAAAACGTGAACCGGAAGACTTACAAAAAGACTTCCGGTGAACAAACGGAAAAAAATTAAATCGGAAGACTTGTAAAAAGACTTCCGATGAACAAACAAAAAAAAAATGAACCGGAAGACATATTTAAAGTCTTCCGGTAAACAAACGAAAAAAATTATAACTATTTATGCGAGGGTACTTTGATCCAAAAAAATTTAGTGTAAGGATATGAGTATAATTGTAGGGGTATGGGGTAAAACAAATTCAGTTAAATTCTCCAAATTAATCTGTTACGGCCCAACCCATTTCCATTCTCCAAATTAATCCGTAAGGGCCCAACCCATTTCCATTCTCCAAATTAATCCGTAACGGCCCAACCCCATTTCCATTCTCGTACTTCCCTCTTCCACAGATCGCTGCAACTTCAAATTCCATCAACAAAACACAAAAATCAATAAAGCTTCAAATCTTTGAGCAAGTTTTTTGCCTCCGGAGTTTAACACTCTCATTAAACAGACATTTGCACCTTCTTCATCCAGATCTCGAAGGTTCGAACATTTTTTTTATATAATTTTTCGTCTTAATTATTTCAAACTATAATTTTGATTTTGATTTTTGTGCAGTTAAAAATGAATCCAGACGCTGTAAAGTCCACTCTCACCAATCTCGCGTTTGGAAACGTAATAGCTGCAGCTGCTCGTAATTATCAAAAGGTTGTTTTTTTAATTCTCAGCTTCACAAATTCATAAATTAATTGGGTGAAACTTTCCTTGTTTCTTATTTCATGTAACCAAATTTTATCTTTGCATGATTTGTCAGTTACATTGTATGATATTCATAACCTAAATTTTATATACAAGTAAGTTGAACAAACTTTGATTGTTTGTGTATGTGATTGACAACATTGATTTTACATCAGTAGCACTAGATATTTAAGTAATTTATGAATTTTGTTATTGTTTACTTGTGCTAATGTTATGATTTTTTGTATACTGAGGTTGCTGTTCTGTAGATTTCTTATGCTATGCCATATATATTGGTTATGTGACACCTGTTATATGATCCCTGTAGGAATTGCTTAGTGAAGAGAAAGCAGCACAATCAAGTTCTGTAAACGAGGAGGTTGACCTTGATGATTTGATGGATGTATGTTTCTAAACTTCTCAATCTCATCATATATGTATGTCTGCTAGTATTTAGGATCTGTGCATTTGCATGAGCAATATATAAGATTGTCGATAAAAAGATGAAAACTTTCATAAGGGACGAGGATGCTGTGTTGGATGTGTGGTAAGACTAGACTTGATAAGATTAGAAATGACAATATTAGAGCATTGAGGTAGCATCTATAGTAAAGAAGGTGAAAATATACTTGGGTGGTTTGGACATGTAGAGAGATGACGGTAGACTCTGTGGCAAGGAGAGTTGGTCAGATGAAGAAAAGTCAAATAGTTAGAGGTAGAGGAAGACCTAGAAAAACCATAAGAGAAGTTATTAAGAAAGACCTCAAAATTAATGGTTTGGATAGAACATGATGACAAAAGTTGATCCATGTAGCCAACCCCACTTAGTGGGACACGGCTTGGTTGTTTTTGTTGTTGTTGTAATCATTTAAAATGTCTTTTGTTCATCATGTGATGTATATGTACATGAAAAATTAAAGAAACACTTAAATACAGACATTGATGGACGTACTGATGATGTTTATGTATTTGAAGAATATATCACAAGGTCCAATGGGTATTAATGAAGATGAATACTTTATTTTTTGTGAAAGGATATTCAAATAATTTTGGTTTGCGACTATTGTACTGTTTGGTAACACGGTAGAAAGCCATCCACCGGACAGTGTGTAAACTCTAGCAATAAGTTCTTCTATAGAAAACTACATTTCTCGGAACTGTTTCTGCCACCTATTAACTGTTAAATTTAATATTTCATTGCGATTATGCCACAAACTAGTGCTGCCCACTATTACTTATAGGTCACAGTTGCAAACTTTACTTGTGCCATTGACTAGGAATGAAGTTGTTTTTTTCTGTTAAACAGAACATCTGCTTTATTTTGTTTTGCTACATTTGTAGTTTCCAGCCTGTAGAGAGAAGACCTGTGGAATCTATAGTAAAGAGGGTAGATGAAGTGTAGTCAAACAACTAGAGGTAGAGGAAGACCTAGAAAAACTAAAAGTGAAACTATTCAGAAAGATTTCGAGATTAACAAGTGAGATAGAAACACGGTCTTTGATAGAACATTATGGTGTAATTTGATCCGTGTAGCCGACCCCACTTAGTGAGATAAAACTTGATTGATTGTTGTTTTAGTTTCCTGCTTGGACACTTTCTTGGTAGTCTTGAACTACTTTGTGATACCTGCATCATAAGCCACCTTTGCACATTTGTCCTTTAGTTTGCAGGGTACCCGAATAAACCAAAATATTAGTTTGTCATCACTTTAGTAGGCAAACATCAGTGGCATTTTGTTCAAGTTAGTGGTAATATGGATTTGGCAGCTGCAATTGCAGTGGTCCTCTCCTTGCATCTAATTGGGTAGAGAGTCTTACAAATTTGTTTTTTCTAAACTGACAAACAAATATTAGATTTGGGCAAGCATGTAAGGATAGATGGGTCACTCGCTCAAGGTGCCAAATTAGAGTTAAATATATAGAATCAGATGGCAACCAAACTGAATAAATAGCATCAGTGTTGTCAATTGCGTATAGCGGATGTTTAAATTCTGTTATGCAATACTGCTATAGCTCCGCTATTTGACAATATTTTGTATTAAATGGTGTAACGCAGAACAGTAACACCTCGCCTAAATTCTGCTACGCTTTAGCCACATAGTACGGCTATAGCTGCTATTTAACATCATTGCATTTGCCTAATAGCTAATAGTTGTATGCAGATTTGTAAGTAAATGATTTTCTATTTCTCATTCAATTCTTGCAATATATTTTAAACCATTCATCAGCTATGCACTAATTTCTCTAGATTAGTCAGACATAAGTGGCCCATTATCTTTTGATGCTCTCTCAGTGACAACACTAGTTAAGATCGCATAAGATCTGCTCAAAGTAGAGTATTAGATAAAGAAACAGCCATAGCGAAGGGTTTAAAAATACCAAGGAAACTCACCAGCTAAAGTCAGTGTCAGCGTCACCACATAATGTGTAACACCGGGACAAATTTGTAGATAGATCTAAACATATAACCATTATCCATTAAAATAATCTTAATTGCAAACGGAAAGTTAAACTTGTAACTGTTGCGGGTAGCTCTGTAACTACCCCCGTTAGAAGAAACAAACAGAAATTGAAAGGAATAAGCGCACCTTTCACGTAAATGTGTTGAAACTTGTGAATTACTGTCTATGGAAGCATGCCACCCTGCAAGGAAAGTGAGCAGGTCCAAACACTTCTCAATCTCAAATAGAATCAAATGAACAGAAACTTCACACATAAGGAGCACTGAAAATCACAAAACAACCTCATTATCCTTGAGCACCAACTCCAAGAGAAGGATATGGTGTCTAGAATAAAGAACCAGAAAGATGAAGTGAGAATAAACAAAAATAAAACAAAATTTAAAGGATTGAACTATTGACTATTTGAAAATAGTCCTGTGTGAAGCTTTTGGAGCAAGCTTGACCTTTCTGCCAGAGAGCCGTGCTACATGCTGAAAATTGGAAGGATCTATGTGTCAGCGTGTATTTCTACATAGATGTAGTGTTTGAGTTTCCCATTACAAAAAGATTTGGGAGCAGGGACTACTTTGGATAGCCGTGTGTTCGCACAGAAAATAGTATTTGGCTTTAATTTATTGTGCTTGTGCATGATGTGGTTTATAAGTATTCTTTCACTAGCCTGGCAAAAGTGGGGGAATAGTTTATACACAGTAACAGAGATATCTATTTTGTTGTGTTTTCAACATCGGGTCTTTTTTTGATCAAATTATTTTCTGGGTCCTAAATGCCAGCTGCTTACATTTTGTAAAGTGTGTTGTGAAAGCTAGTGAATGTGAGGTTGACACTTGCAAAAAATTAACCCCAAGAATACCTATAGATAAACAGCTAGGTATAGATATCCCATTATTCTAATATAAGATTTATGCTCATTTGTGTTGTCAGGACCCCGAGTTGGAAAAATTGCATGCGGACAGGATTGCAGCTTTTAAGGTAGTAAACTCCATATGTACTAGATTGAATAATGATATTCACGTTTTTACTTTTACATTTGTTATTACCTCATTATTCATAATAAGATTTGTTTTATATAGAAAGAAGCAGAGAAACGGGAGGCATGGAAGAAGAAAGGTCATGGGGAATTTAGGGAGGTAACTGAAGGGGATTTCTTGGGTGAAGTCACTGGAAGTGAAAAAGTGATCTGCCATTTCTACCATAAGGAGTTCTATCGATGCAAGTATGCCTTGTTATTCAATTGTTACTCAAATGATTGTTCATTGAATCTAACATCTGTCTCTATCTCATGATATCTGAAGTAACAGTTACAAGTGCATTTTCTTGTTGTATCAACAAATGCTTTCAGGATTATGGATAAGCACTTAAAGTCCCTTTCAACAAAACATATTGATACAAAGTTCATCAGGCTCGACGCAGAGGTCAGCATGAACACTTTCTCGGAGTTCAGTCAATGTAACAGTGTCATTTGACATATTATTTTAATGCAAATGTTTGTTTTAATAATTCAGTAAAAATGTTAACTATTGAAAGTGAATGCAGAATGCACCGTTCTTTGTTACAAAATTGGCAATCAAAACTTTGCCTTGTGTCATACTCTTCAGGTGAGGACTAAAGTCTTTTACTCATAGAATTTCTCGGTTGATTAAGTGCTTTCCTTGTTTGGTATAAAAACATATTAATGAATTTAAGAATCCTAAAGACAATCTTTAATCTTCATACCCAATCCCTCTTAAATAAATGTGATATCTTATCATGTGCACTGAAACTATTTGTTGCTTCATAGTAGTGATTAGCCTGGCTAAAATGAAATGCTACATACTAAATAAGGATAAAAGTTGATTTATTATATCACTTTATTAGCTAGAGTGTTTCTTTTTTTCAGACAAGGAGTCGCAGTAGATAGATTGGTAGGTTTTCAAGATCTAGGAGCAAAAGATGATTTTACCACAAGAGCACTGGAGGTTCTCCTGATAAAGAAAGGTACTGTTCCTGTATGTTGTTCTCTGTTTCTTTTTGTATGTTATCATCTGGACAGTTTTTTAACTGTCATTTGACAGGTATAATTGTCGAGAAAAAAGAAGTGGATGAGGAAGATCAAGAATATGATGAAAGTAAACGTAGAACTGTTAGATCCTCAGCGGCTGCTGATTCTGATTCTGAATAAACTTAATCATCTGGCGGCATCATGAAAAGAATAGAGTGGAGTTTAGCTTGTTCATATCTTTATGGATTTTTGGCTTGTATAACATTGTTACACTTCTTTTTGTTTGCTTATAAACTTATATGCGGGGTTTTAACGTATTGCAATCCTAGGTAAAGTGTAATACCATTTATGTATGAATTTTTTATTTAAGAACTAACTCCCATCAAAATATTGCTACAATTTCTCCCATCTAAGGGTGATAAATGGAAGAAAATGACTCATTTTTTCGAAAACTCTGGTCAATATCTATCTATTCCCAAAACTCTGGAGGAGTTATATGTCAATATGTATTGTTAAGTTCGTGCAATGAGCTCATTAAGGATAGAAAATTTAGGGAATTGCTAATCTCATAGGGGAATAAAAATCCTATGAAAATTCAAAAATACCTTTTAAATTTTAGAAATATCTCTGGGCGCGTTCTTTTATAATGCAACACAATTCATTTGAATTGCACCTTTTTTTCTTTCTTTTCAAAAATATGTTTTGGAGATAAATTTCCAGATCAATCTTATCATTTTATTACTAGTTTATCAAGTTAGTAATTTTTCAAAGGTGCATTTCTAAAATTGTGAAGCAGAAAATAAAAAAAAGTGTGACCTTTGCAGGTCAGTCTATTCCGAAGATTCATATTCAAAAAAGTCAAACATCATTTTTAATAAAACAAAACCTTGCATGATCAAACTCTATTGTCAACTTTTATCAAAACCCATGCAAAATAACCTTCTATTCTCCATCAAGACTTTAGCTCAAAAACTTCACTCTTATGATTCATCATTTCAAAAGGAGTAAAAAAAGTTGAAATTTAAAATAAAGATGATTTATTTCATTTTTCGTTGTTCACATAAATCTTGTTTTCGTACTGTTAAAGTTATTTTATTTTTAAAAATGCATCTCCGAAACTCATGAATTCCTATGGAAATGCATTTTCGGATGTCTCATGTTTTTAAATATTGTGTTTTTGTTTGCATTAATTATGGTGCACCCGAATTGTTTTCAAAAACATGTTATGTTAATGGATGTTAAAAATGTCATAGTGGAAGAAGTAGATGTTTGCAAACAATTTACAGTTGGACAAGAATTTGAGTTTCGTGATCATATGCTTCAATGAATATACATGAAAGCATCTAAACTGAGATTTGACATTATAATTCGAAGGTCCGTCAATGATTCGGATAGAAGAACTGTATTTGTGACAATGAGATGCGAAAAAAGTGATATGTATAGAACTCCTCTCCGAAAATTCAAACGAGATGACATCGTTTTGAGAAAATATGTGTGTCCTTTTAAGTTGCGTGGTTATCTGATGTCGAAAAAATAAAAATTTAATGTCATCTATGGTTCACATAACCATGACATATGTGTCAAGTTAGTCGGACATCCAATTCCATGTCGCCTAATGTTAGAATAGAAGGAAATTGTTACGAACATGACATTGAATATGGTGTAGTCTAAAAACATACTTGCAACTTTGAATCGCAAGAGACCCATAAACATCTCAAATATCAACCAAGTGTACAATAATCGTGTCAATAACAATAATGCGGTAAGGGGGGATAAAAGTGAAATGCAACAACTTTTGAAAAGGATGCAAAAGTTCACCAAATTGAACGAGATTGAGAGAGACTCAAGTCAAAGACGGTACCACCCATAAATATAGATTTAGCCGACGACACTTATTTTAATTTATTTTAGTGTTTATATGTATATTCTATTAATATTGATGACGTCAAATATATACATTTTCAAAGAAATTAACACAAGTTTCAGTTTCTAAAAAATTTCAATAGTTTTCTTTTTCAAAACAGGTTCTGCTTCTCACTGTTCTGTGTTCCTACAGTGTTGGGTGTTTTCGGAGATGCATCTTTGAGCGCACCCAAACTGTTTTAGAAAAATACAAACATGATAGAAATTTTGAGGTTCATATTAGTCTAGAACTTGTATATATATGAACTCTCATTTCATTTTTTTACATCATTACATTACATCAAAATGAACATAAATTAGAATGTCGGATATGTCTACTTCAACGCGGCAAAGCCATTAATTATATTCAAGTTCATTGAGTATACGCATCTTGATGATCTGAAATCCATACTGGAAGAACTCCTACCATATGACGACAATCAAAAAATTGTGAAGCTTGAGTAACGTTTAACCTCAGCTGACATTAAAGGGAACATTGGGTTCAACAACTTCAAACTCAATTCTGTTGTAGATGTAAGGGCTATGTGGAATACATTTCTCTGTTACGAAAACAAATTTTTGATTAAGTTGGATGCGAAAATAGCGAGATCTGTCGAAAATATTGTGCAGATGTTGGAAAGTCCACCTCAACACTACTATGTTTCATTTATGTAATGTTTCATCTTTTAAGTTATCAATTTTAATTTCAATATGCATCAACATGCATCTATGTTCTTAAATATGTAGTTCAGTACATTCTGGATATGCATCTTTGGAATAAACACAACTTATTATTTGGAGTGTTGTAAAAAACGAATGTGATTTGTGTTTTTGAGTGTTCCAAAGATTTTTTATAGGATGTGATAGCAGTTCTCAAAAATTATAACTGAGTGTGTGCATTCCACACTAATAATATTAACTTTTGTATAAAACCAACAAGAATAATTGAGTGTGTACATAACGTATGAATACCAATTTAAAAATAAAGTGACATTTACAAACATAATTCATTCCAAAACAAGTGACACTTAATTATGTAAAGAGAATGAACGATAATGAACTTATCGTTATCATAAATATAAAACTAGCAGAAGATCTGTGTGTTCGGATAAAAAAGTTCATTCTTAAATGAAAGAAGAACCTGAACATTCTATGTAAAAATGTTAGTAAAAAACATTCAATTAAAGTCCTTAGATGCATAACCAAAATGAACCTAAGCAAGGGACAGAGTCGGCCCAAGAGTAAGGCGATCCAAGGAAGGGTTTTAGGCCTCAAAATTTTAGGCTATAAAAAGGCCTCAAAAAAAATTTATTTAGTCATAAATATTTTAAATGACATATTTCTTACATAAAATCTCATTATTGAGTTGGTAGAAGAGAGACTTTGTATCTTTTAGGTCTTTGGTTTAACTATTGTCAAGTGTAAAATTTGATTTTGTTTTTTTATTTTGAAGGTCTCAATTTTAAAATTTTCTTTAGGCCTCTAAACGGGTTGGGTTGGTCCTACCAAAGGATCCTTCATTGAATAGAATTGTCATAACCAAAATATCCACAATCCCACACGAATTAGGCCTCTAAACGGGTTAGGCCGATCCTGCCAAAGGATCCTTCATTGAATAGAAATCATACCATGTCATCATGCACCTTTTTGGCTAAGTTTGGAAAGGAGAATTTGCACAAAACTTTGCTCACATTTTCTCTCCCATGTGCCATCCTTCTCACACAAATTCCATGATTTATTCTATGCCCAAAAGAGTCACAAAATGACCTCCCATGTGCTAATCCGTATGCACTATTTTCACCCTTCAAATTTTCAAACTCATTACAACAAACTCTCATGCTCATCCCACGTGCCAAGTCCCCCTCTATAAGCCCCAAAACCCTAAACCAAGGACCATCATTTTTCATTCTACACCAAAGTCAGATCTGAACAAGCTTCCCCTCTCAAAATTCTTCAAAATTCGAGTTCCTTAATTTCTCAAAGGTTTTGATCATCTCTTGCTCCTTTGTTCTTCATCCAACAAAGGATAATAAAAAATGAAGTTCTAATAACTGTGTAGAATCAAATGGTATAGTACGACATATTTGAAGAAATTGTAGAGATGACATAACCTACAAACATGATAAATGAATGGATAATATAGATATATTAGAGTCATAGATGCAAAAAAAATTATTGGGACATTGAAAGAATGGCTTACATTTACATGGTCAAATATATATGGTTGAGTCAAAAATGGTAGTGGGTGAAAGCTGAATAGGGAAATGGAGATGTTAGTATTCATAGGTAAAAAATATAATGTTATTAAAAAAACTTAGTTAAAAGGAAAAAGTAAAGTTGTACCTAGATGACATTATGGAAAACTTCTTTGAAGAGATCATTTGTTGTTTGAGTTAATAAGTTGTTGTCTTTGTCGTATATTAAGATTTTTAATCCAGCTTTACTCTTAACTCTTAAAATAGCGACATAAAGTTGTCAGTGACTGAAAATATTCTTGGGAAAATATAAACCAACATAGTCCAATGATTGACCTTGAGATTTTTTAATGGTCATAAAAAATGACACTATAATTGAGAATTGTCTTATGATAAGTTTAAATGGCCATGCAAATTGAGAAGAACACAAAGACATTCTCGGGATGCAAATAGTGTTTCTAATATTTGTACCTGAAATTATCTTTGCTTCGATTATATAGTTGGATAACTTAGTAATTGCACCAAAGAATATATGTAGGCAAAATACTTAAGAGATTTGAGATGCAAAATTGCAACCCAACTTCGACTCTAGCTGAGTCCAGAATGCAACTGTCGAAAGACTCAGATGAAGATGATGTCGATCCAACACAGTACATAAGACTCATTAGATTACTTCAATACCTTTGTCACACAAGGTTTGATCTAGCATACAATGTAGGTAAGGTAAGTAGATTCATACAGAAGACAAATGTATCACATCTAGTAGTGACGAAGAGGATACTAAGGTATCTGAAAGGAATTCTCGACTATGGCATTTTGTTTCCTGCAGCTGATGAAGGAAATGAATACAAATTATTAGGATACACAAACTCAAGTTTGTGCAGTGATGATGAGGAGAGAAAATACACAGGTGGCTATGTATTTATGCTAGGTGGTGCACCGGTTGCTTGGAGTTCAAAAAAGAAACCAAAAGCGACAATATCATCATGTGAAGCAAAATACATAGTTGCTTCTCTCTGTGCATGTCAAACAACGTGGATGGTGAATATGATCAAAGAGATTACAAGGAAGAATCATGGAGCA